CAGTGTATGTGTACCTGAAATCCCTCAGCCTGGGAGACTGAAAGCAATGCAAATTATAATTTTTTCCATGCAAACATAAACAACCCCTTTGAGAGAGGCCACAATGGCTTTTATGTTGTCGCTTAGCAACAAGAGGAACTTGGGATCCTCCTTAGACCTGACCCTCACTCACCAACAGGAGGAGCAACACCCAGTGATAATAAGTTAGAAAAATATTTTATGTAATTGTAAGATTTATGGGTGAGACTAAAATAAATTAAATTTTTGTACGTGAATATTTATTCAGATCCTGTCTGCTGTCGCCAAATCAACAATTTTGACTAAAGTGTTTTCAGGCTAAATCAATGTTCATTTGGGATTCTCTGTAATCGCACCAGATGGTTGAGTGTAAAACTTTTTTTCTTTTTAATGTATTATTTATTTTTTATTTACTAGAATCACAAATAGTACATTGCATTATGGGATATTTTAATTTTGAATTCTTTATAGATATGCAGATGTTCCCAACCAAAGTGTTCAAGACAGACAAGTTGTACCAAGAATGGGAAGTTACATATGACACTGAAGACAAAGTCTAAACATACTATAATATCAGCTTCACATCCTCATTTCTCGTTGTGCAAATGTAGAATTGAGCAGGTGTATGCCTTCGAGTGGTATAGACCTTTTGTTTATCGTGTGCATCCATGTACTCATTGTATTGATGCAACAGCTGCTTCTTTTTTCTCAGATGTGTGTTTGCTCTGAAAGAATCTGCAGCAGCCTTGTGAACTGCAAATAAATCTGTGTCTCCTCACCATCATTTAGTCCTCCAGTGTACTCCTCCTGTGTACTTTACAACAAATGCCATTTCAAGAGAAGCAGAGAAATTCTCTGGAAATAAACGTTGGCTAAAACGATTTACCAAAGGTGACAAAAAATTGTAATGTGGTGATTCATTCTAATATCTATCTAACTGCTTCAAATATTTTTTACTTATCTGGCCAACCTTTTGTACAGGAAGCACTGGAATTTGACATTATTGATTATTTTGGATTGGAACCATACAAATAAAAAAAATCAAACAAGAATTTATTAAAAATGTCTTAAAGGTCTAAGGAGGTGATCCTCAAGTCCTCTGGTGACACTGAAGGAGAATCTATTATGTAATTGTGATCCCTAAAACCAAACTGGCTCTGGAAGACTTTAGAAACCATTGCTATTCAGTAAGCTGTTTGCTTTAGAAAATATAAATGAAAGTTGTATGCAGAAAGGCTTAGTTATTTTTTCAGTTTCCAGACAATTAATAAGTGTCATTAAAACAAAGGTTAATACAACACAAGACATGACTCCCAAATAAAGGTTCAAAGTAATTCACAAATAGCACATTTAAGTCTTTGCCGAATATTAAAAAACTTTGTGGAAATGGGGTTTGGGGAACAGTATATAAGCAGGAAATGAAATCCACATTAAATTGAGGATTGTTCATTAGATTCTACATACACAACTGGATGTGTGTCAGCCAGCTCTAAAAAGGAAATTAACTTTGCAAATGTGATCACTTGTCTGCTGCCAGTGTAATAGTAAACCTTTTAAAGCCCTGAATTTAACCTGTCCTGCTTTCAGTAATGAAATAATTAATTTTTGCATAGCGGGCCATAACAGTCTTTCACACGGGAGGGACAGTCCACATTTAAATTGCTCGGAATATTTTTACGGCCTCATACTCAACCAAGTGGGGATGTTTAGGATCACTAAATGCTTAATTTTGATTAAAAGGAGCTGAACCAGTTAGGGCACTAAAGTTAAAAGTACAGGTCTAAGAAGGGCTCTGGGATTCATAGTGTGAATAAAAGGAGCTCACCCTGGGCAAGAGGCCAGTAAAATGACTCTCCTAAAGGTGTGAGAGAAATGGACTATAAAGGCTGTGGTCTTAGGCTACAATCAATCAAACATATTTCCAATTCTTTTTTTTAATAATTCTGCGTGCTAAAGTTGGATGGCAAAGAAGGGGCTTAGCTTGACTTAAGATCTTTTTTTTCACTGGACAACATACAGGGCAAAACAGTTGTTATGAAAAGGCCTTCTAAAGGTTTAAAGAATTGTATCTATACTTGACTAGTGTTCATGGCCATTTAAAAACTACAGAAAACAAAAGTAGGGTTTCTTATATTACTTGCCATAATTTAAAGTGTTACTAGTAAATTCAATTTGGCAGTAACATTAAGCTGCCAAAGTCCTGGAAGGTTTTGTGTTTGTTGGAAATTGTGTCTAGTTTGGGGCTTTAGCAATGCTGTGTTTCCATTACACTGTATTATTTAACTCCTTTGATACACCACACTTATGTTTCTCTTTAAACATCTCTTTCACTGGATGCTGGTTTATCTACACTGGTATTTTAGTTAATTTCATACATACTTAAATGATTTTCTTGCAGCCTCTGATGAAAATTGTTTCTCTCTGCCCTTCCGTCCTCTCACTGTCTGCTGCTCTTTTATTTTTTCCATATTTTTATTTTTTTGCTCGGCCTCATATTTCATACAATTCGTTGCTATTAAGGAATGCAGCCTTGTAGGAGGAATGTGTTAAATTTTATACTGAGATATTAGCTCTTATACTCGATCCATTTACAACAGAGACAGCTTTGTGCAGCATAAGAAATATCTCGCACCAGACACTGAGGGCTATGTCTGACCTTGCTGTGTGTGTGCGTGTGTATGCCTGTGAGTGTATATACAGATGTTGGTAAAGACTTGAGTCTCTTCTAGGGTTTCCTTGGTGTTGTACCACCACATATCTTGGAGTGTCTTAATATGGTAACAGTGAGCGATCCAAGCAGGTCTCTTTGGTTTGGCCACTTTCTTTCATGCAAAAGGCTTTTGCTTTTTGAAAGATAAGAAAAATGGTTCTGAAGAAACAACAATCGTAGAACTCAATAACATCCTTCACTTAACAACACTCCCATCCATGTCTTTATAATCTCATGTCCTTTTAAATCAAGCAGAATAATGGCTACTAATATAAAGAAACCCCCCATTTTTGAATTACCGTAATATAATGTATATACAGTTTGTAGGAATACTAGCCTGACTTATCAAATGTGGATATCATCTTTTCTTTTAGATCAATGCATTTATACAGTCCATCTTATCTTTAATGTCTCCAACCCCAGTTTCCCAGCTTCTACAACAAAGGCAAGCTTGTACTTGTTTCCATTCGTTCGCAGTGACCTTTTTTCATCTCCCAAGTCTATAGTGTAAAAATGTCAGACATTGGCTTTGTAAAATAAGACACAGTTTTCCTCTGTGTGATAACAGTTTCTTCCGTAACTCTCAAAGCTATGGCATCTACGATTGTGAAAAGAATGAATTGAAGCCTGAGGGTTGTGGGTTCTTTCCTCTTCTAAATCTTTGCTCAGGTCAACCGATGAATACTAAGTGGTCCAATCTGATTGGACTAGATAGGCACCTACTAAAATGTAAAAACATTTTGTAGAATACATTTCAATTCAATTAGAAATATGGAAGGCTGGTATCAATCTTCACTTCTCCTTGAACTCTTAGTTGAAAAAGTTGGGGTATCTTGACTTTTTTTATATGCTGTTAATTGGGAGCAATGCCTATTAATTAGTATTTTGTGTACCTTAATTGTTTATATCTTGACTGAATAAGTCGACGACCTTTGGATTTAGTCTTTTAGTCAGATGCAAAGTAGAAAGGTCAGCAGTTTGTTATTTCTTTGTCAGTTTTAAAAGAATTGGACATTTCTTAACCATATAAATGACATATTCTAGATATAATTCATCGTGCATCCCTGATGGACAGCATCGCATCTAATCAAAATCAATTTAACTGTAATTCTGCAATTACACCTTGAGTGAAGACCAGATTAAAGCCTGTAGTCTTTGGGTGATTGAATTAGAACATGTTATTAAAAAGGATAATGAGTATGTGAAGGCGAACGTTAGGCTTTGATTACTGCTCTCATCAAGAGGTAATATTTAGCTAAGTGAAAAACAGCTTATTAAATGTGGGAGCTTATCTGCCAAATTGTATTGGTAAATTAACTACCAGCACTGCCACAACTCTGTGGACTGTGTTTTGCCAATAAAGTAGCTTGTTTTGATGCCATTAATTAGAACAGAAATTGGTCTTGCATGGACCTCAAAGTGGGAAACTTGAGGGTGTGCATGTGAGGTATATTCAGGTCACTCTTATTTACAGAGTAACTTGAATTTGTTATGCTTTAGAATTGGCTTTCTACACAAAAAAAAGTCTCAGGATATAGTTTCGATATCTGAAAGTTGGGTATTTGTCACAATTCTTTGTGTATCTTTTGTTTTACTTTAAATGGATTTGATTACTGTGTCCAAACAGTTAAATATCAATTAATGGTGGTTATGTCAGTAGGTTAAATCTTTAGTAATATACTGCAGCTATAGCCTGCAAATAAAAGGGTCTAAGTATCAGACAAAGCATCACAAAAAGGCAAACACTGCAGCTTGTCAAGGGTGCATTGTAAGCAAAATGATTTGAGACCCACTTTTCCCAGGCAGGTAATTTGATTCTTGGAGGTCTGTGTTTGGTGGTTTTGGGGTCACCCATGTAGCCAGTCCCCACTCTAATAAAACCAGAGTGCAATCTTGGACCAGGGGGCTAAAAAAACCCATTAACTTCTTTCCCATCAACATGGGGACAGGTAACCTAATGACCCTGCAAGCCTGCTATGCTCCCTGGTCATGTGACCTGGGATTTTCAAAGCTGATGACTGGGCAGCTCAAGTTAGACAACAATTTAGGAGAAATACTGTTCTTAGGCCCTAAAGCGTAAGGCAAATTCTAACAGCTATTTAGTGTCTCACTAAGACCAAAAGGATATTTAAAGACAAACTATCAGGACATTGCTCGTTGTTTCATAATAGTAGTACTTATGTGATCTAAAACTCTGACCTAATTATTTTACTACGTACTGTTACCCCTCCTTTTAATCTTCTCCCATACTTTCCTATCATTTCTCCTCTAGTGGGATGCCATCACAGAAATGGACGAGCACAATCGACCGATCCATACTTTCCAGGTTTGCAACGTGATGGAGCCAAACCAGAACAACTGGCTTCGCTCCAACTGGATCTCTCGACAGGCGGCCCAAAAGATCTACGTGGAGCTTCGCTTCACATTGCGTGACTGCAACTCCATCCCCTGGGTGTCTGGCACCTGCAAAGAGACCTTCAACCTCTTCTACCACGAGACAGATGAGGCCCATGGGGTCAAATTTAAGCCGGCACAGTACACCAAGATCGACACCATCGCGGCCGATGAGAGCTTCACGCAGATGGACCTCGGAGATCGCATTCTCAAACTCAACACGGAGATACGGGAGGTGGGACCCATGACCAGGAAGGGCTTCTATCTGGCGTTCCAGGATATCGGCGCCTGCATTGCGTTGGTGTCAGTGAGGGTTTACTACAAGAAATGTCCCTTCACCTTGAGGAACCTGGCCTCGTTTCCAGATACTGTGCCTCGTGTGGACTCCTCATCTTTAGTGGAGGTGAGAGGTGCATGCATTGATCACGCAGAGGAGAGAGACACCCCCAAACTTTTCTGTGGAGCCGACGGAGACTGGCTGGTGCCCCTGGGAAGATGCGTCTGCAGCATCGGGTTTGAGGAGACCGATGGCTCCTGTGTCGGTGAGTTAATCAGCCCTTGTATGTTATTATCCTTTGAATTGTCCTCAGTGCAACATCCATCAACCGCGGGGATTTCACCTTGTCTTTTAAAAGACCCTCCCCTGAGCTGTTTTTTCAGCTGTCTTAACACAAAAGGTGAGTATCGGATTAATGTAAAAGGAGCGATTGGCAGACGTTTTTCCTAGAGAATTAACGTACTTTCTCACTGGTATCGTTTCTTTCATCAGATTGTTTGTTATAGTAAATAAATAGTTAACTAGTAAATAGATGGCCTGTAAATAGCACGTGTCTGGTCTAATTGACCACTCAGAGTGCTAATACTAGACGTGCCAGATTTATGCATTGACATGAAAAACGTTTTGCGATATGCATTCATTTCACAAAGACTGCAGAAGAGTGGGATCAAACAACCCAAGCTTCTAATCAGCCAAGGAGTGATCTGCCTCCTGAGCTATGGTCATTGCGGACTTAAGACAGTCCATGATATATAGTTTATACGATCACTTGCTAAGTGATTGCAAGATTGCTGTCTTGGAAACTGTTTGCCATTTTAACGCTTTCCAACAAAGACTTATTTACTGTAAACTATGTTTAGGAAGTTATAGAGGTTGCATGGTTTAGAATATGTTAAGCATAGATTCATGTTTATTCATCATGTCATGTGAATGCAGGATATGGCCGATGCAGTATCTGAAATACATCATATCCATCAACTTTGCATTTTAATCATGTATATTAATACTCACCATCCATCTCTATACAAACTTCTACAGACTATGTGCACGACTATATTTGCTCACGTGCTTTGAAACTCAAAATCTATACAACATTTTTCTTTTTTTCCGTTTCAGCCAGTCTGTATTCCCTCTCATTACTCATTTTTGTTTTCTCTCTCTACTGACATTATTACCAGCTACATCTCTGGGGATTAAGCTGAGATATTGTGACGGTTAGCTTTTTTGGGGATTGTTAACGTGCTGGCAGAAAACATCCTAATGCTCTCTGAGGTGCATTTTTCTGTATTGGACTGTGTTTGCGTGCATTAATGCAGCAGGTGGAAATAGTAAGCAGTTACTATTTAATACATTATAGACATATTTTTGTTTTGTTTGCTGTAACTTTATGTTCTTGTTTAAGGTAATTGTGGTATCAGAATCTTTACTGAAAAATACTTTTGTACTGTTTGTGTGTGAGGGAGTGTGTGTATGTGATAGGCCATGAGTTCAGGTATGTCGTCGGGTACATCAGTGGTCTACCACCCATAGTCCCAGGAGCTGCCTTGGTGTGACAGATTACCTCTGCTGGCTTGGAAGCAGTTTTGATCCTCAGCCCTCTGATATGAGCTTTAGGTTATCACCGGTAGCACTACTCACTGGGAATGCCACCTTCAACAAGGTCCAACAAAACTTCTTTTTAAACTAAGTAAAGGCCTGATGTCAGGTCAACAGATTTATAATCTATAGTGGATTGATCTACAATTTACAAGAAGCTAAGAAGCCTGATATGTGTACAGAAAGACTAGCATCTTTAAAACTAAACAAAGATAAGTAAATCCAACTCATTGCATGAAAAAGAAGTGTCATCATTTTGATATTTTTCTATGTTGTTTTCTATTTTCCATTGAACCAACTTCATGCTTTACCTACTGCTCTCTTGTAAAAACCACCAGGAACCAGCTGTTCTATATGAATGATTAGATATCTCACAGGGTGCTGGTCAGAGAGGGCTCCAACCTGCAACTGCTGCTGAATTGCAGTCAACAGGTCAGAAATGACACTGCAGCAATGATTAGACCTGACTATTCCAACAAAACCCCTCTCGTCATACCCAGTCCTTTGAGTAATCTCTCTTTAATGCAAAAATCTGAATAGGTTTAGTATAGGCAAATGGAGTTGTTCTTGACAGCTAAAACATGAAACATGGCAAAGTTTGCCTTTCATTCAGTATGAGATTACTTCTGAGACATTTGGTAAGCTTATTTTTATTAATGTCCAGGGCATGTGGTGGATCCTTGCTGTTACCTGTGTGTTTTAAAATGATGCTACAAGCAGTGTTGGACTTACAAAATTCAACAACATTTTAAGAGATGATCATAATTAACCTCTCTTATTTGTTTGCTAGAAAACCTCTATCTTTCTGCAGTTTCATTTGGAAACGTCTGCAAACTCACCTTTTTGCCTCACTTTCACCCATCGAGACATCCTTCTTTTCCTCTGTCTCCTCTACTCTCTTTTTCTCGAAGGCAGATTTCACAGTTGGCTTAAGTTTAGCCCTCGGGGCCATGTGATGGCATTTTACTGCAGTGTCAGCCCTGAAATGCAGCTCTTGCTCATTGTTCCAGGATTCAAACAAGCATCGTATTTAAGAGCTTCCACACAAAGGATCACCAAAGCACCTTGTGTGTAGAAAGCCTTAAGTTCCCGGTTTACAATCGATTAGTTTTTTAAATGCCGCCCTCCGCATAATTTGGCAGTAGAAATTACATTTGCGATGTTTTTAGTTAAATTATCTTGTTAATAAATGCAAGTGGCACAAAAGTAATCTCTGTGCTCCTCATCTGTGAATGCTTATAAAAATTATAGTGAGACTGAAAATGAAAATGTGTGCAGTTTAAGTGTCACATCAAGGTTAGAATTTAAACATTACCCAAGTTAGATTGGAATTATTTTTACTTTCTATTCTAAAATGTTAAGGAGCAGACAAACTTGTTTGATATTTCAAAGAAATTTGCAAAGGAAACCATTTTTGTTTTCTTTGTAAACAGCTGCAATAGTATGTTTCTGCCTCCCTCATAATCTCGAATAAGAGTAGATAAAGAAATGAGCCAAACACTTACTGACTAGTAAACCTTTTTGTGTCTTTGAGAAAATGGGCTTTCTGAAAGCTGCTTGAAGGTTTCACTAAAAAATTAATCAAGGGCATTTTTCCACTCAGCTGAAGCCAAAAGAGCCTTTCTCATTTCTGTTATTGCTTTGTTTGTCATCTTTTGTTTCTAAGGCTTATGTAAAACAAGTCTTTGTAACTCCATTTATTCTCATAACTGTGACACATTATGCTCATGCACACTTTGAAACTTCAGTCTCTCAGGAAAACATTTAATATTTTACTTCCTCGTGTCCTCATGTTCAACATGTGCTGTATTAAGTGTATTGCGCACACACAAACACCAGCTCCCCAGTAAGTGTAAATGTTGACCTGCTTAAGTGGACCTCATCCCCTTGGAGAGACCCTGGATAGAAAAAAAAAAGTTCATTTCAGAGCTGAGGTATGTATAATGAAGTTGTATAATGAATCAAGCTAATGTTTCCAACCAACTGATGCATAATCAGTTTAAAAAGTATTTTGAAAAGTAACTTTTGTTACATATAGCCGTAATCTCAACATATTAAGCACATATGTAGGGATTTGTGTCATAAAAAAAGAACACTCTCACATGAATCAATCAAAAGAATTCCTTTCTAGGTGACGGACATATCCATTTGCATTTTTGCCACATCCAGTCACTCGCAATGTCTCTCCCATTTCCCTCTGCCTTTTGCCCCTCCCTCTCAGTTTGAAATAATCTATCTGATGCTGTTATCACTCAGTGTTTACAGCTGGTCTTGTACGCTTGTCGGGCTATGTGTTAGAGCTCTCAGCAGTGCTATGAATAATGTAATTGCTGTGTGTTTGTGTGGGTTTGTTTTTTATGAGCGTGAGCTCCAGTGAATTTTGTTTTTGTACCAAAGTGATTCTTCACCCTGTTTTGGCTGGAGCAAACTAACAGCGGTCGATTTACATTTTAAAATAATGCTGAGCCTCACGTTGAAAAGGTTTTTTTTGCAAATTGCGTCCTGCATATTAAACAATAATAAATGCCCCCAGGGAATGAAAATGAGAAATTTTGAGACACCTGTAACCAGAAAATATGCAAAAGTGGATTGCTCCCCCATTAGCTGTGTCTACTTTATCCTGTGGAGGCACGAGGGAGAAATGGATCCAGTCACATGCTGACATCGGAAGAGAGGCAGGTTACGCACAAGACAATTTTTTAAGTTCATCACGAGGCTAACACAAAGAGACAGACCAAGCATTCCAATTTAAAAACACCTACTGGCCTACTCTTTTCATTGTACAAGGAAACAAGAGCACCACCTGGAGAGGCAGAGAGAATGCAGAAAAACACTATGTAGGCAAATAGCATGTAACTATGTTTCCTTAGTTTTTACGTATATCGCATTCGTTTTTCTACTTAGTTTTTATAAAGCCTGCTGTTTTTTTATATAGTTACACCATGGCATTGGAGGCACACCTTGTGTATTAGGTAAGCTGCACATGCATCATGGTGGATGTAAGAGGACCAGCTGTGTTAACATTAAACGACGCGCTGGTGGAAACATCTTGACGGAAGTTTCCCTGATAAGACATTTTCAATTACAGCACGAAGACAGTCAGACAACAATTACAGCACATATCCCTCAACTTGTCAGCCCGCCAAATGAGACGTCTCGCGCGCATGAGAATGTGGCAGATGCAGAGGAAGAGGCGCATAATGAATCATGTGCAACACTCCGGCAACGACACAGCAAACAGCACATTAGGGCGACTGGCCTCGTGGTCACCGAAGACTGCGACGGGCGTACAAAAAAAATTCTAAAAGAACTTTGGCATTCGGGGCAGCGTGTTAATGAAAGAGAAAAAGAATCCGCTCTCGCAAAACATGTCCCTGCAAACAAACACAAGGAGACACGCCGGGGGTTTGAGGCTGGCAGCAGCAACAGAGCTGTTTACAGACGGGCCGCTCGGCGGGGAGATTCAGTGACATTTCAGAATAGCGTGGTTTTAGTTTAACAAGCGTGGCCCCTCAGGCTTAATTGGGAGTGTCTGGAGGGAGCGAGGGAAACAGAGTGTACCCTGCCAATGGGTCGTGGCCTGTCTGATGAATTTAATCCCACCTCACTCAGCATTACTGCTGACATGTCATGACCAGTGAGGTTATGGATTTGACTTCTTTTTTTTTT